ACCGTTGCGGGGCAAATTCGACTTAAGGACAAAGAGTCCAACTCTTGCCTCGGCTTTGTCACCATCATTATACTTATTTCAGCGTCACTATTCACAAAATTCATCCAACAATTTTATATTGTCAGCACAATCTAATTTGACTCTGGAGCATGTGTTATATTCATCAATGTACATTTAACTTTATATTTAGTTTCACCATAATTACTCAATTTCACAATAATTACCCAATTTTATACTTAATGTCATCATGCCTACTCAATTTGATTTTATTTCACCATCGTCACCTAATTTCATATAACGGTTCACTATGATCATCCAACTTCTTTTCATCATTTTCATTGATTTTAAAAGTGTAAAATGGTAACTTTATATTATATATAAAAAATAAAATAAAAACTTATTTTAAAAAACATTACTTATAAAAATAAAATAAAATAATTTTTTTTTAAAAGTTACTTAATAAATATTAAATACAAAGTTCCTTAAAAAATAAAACAATATAAAATCTTATTTAAAAAAAGGGTTTTAATTTGGAATATAATTTTAATATGAAATTTGATCACTGCAAAATTATTCATGTTACATCACTATTTCTACTATTTTGGTGTTCGTTAACTATGGCTCTGATTATGGGAATGCATTAAGTTTGTCCCCGCCCCGTCGAGCAATTTCTGCCCATTTACCCGTTTAAGGCAGGCGGGGCGGGGCGAGCGGAATCCTTGCCCCATTTAAACACATTTTATTTTTTTTATATAATTTTTTATAATTCATTTTATTGCCCCATTCATTAAAGTGAGAAAATAATATAGTTATTAAAAATTTTTAAAGTGAAATTATTCAAATATATTTGATAAATTAAGGTTTTTATTGTTTATCATATTCTTTAGATGATCTTAATTGTCATATTATATTAGAATTAATGAAATTTCATATAATTTTTCCATTTAAAATATTGATTTTTTTTTAAAAATTAAACGGGCAGGACCCTTATTACCCGTACTTGTAGGGGGCAAAATTTTTCCACCCCATATTAGACCTGAACACCCGATTAAGTAGGTAATCCCACCCATTTGGGGCGGAGCCCTGCAAGTATTTTGTTTAACCGTACATTTCAAGAAATCCATCAACGTATGATCTCAAAAAACTAGAGATGGGAAAAGGGTCGAGTAGTTCATCGATTCAGCTTGTCAAAGCTTGGCCCATGGACGGCTCAGGATAACGAGCTTGAGCTCAACTTGTCAAAGTGACAGGCAAAACTCATGGGTATATAGGTTGAGCCTATTCTGCCCATTGACTTTGGCGGGTCGAGCTCGTGGGTAGATGGGTCAAGGCTACTCGGTCCATTACCACCACTACCAAAAGTTTTGACGTAAAATATTGAAAAGAGAAAAAATTAAAGAAATATTACTGCGAATAAAGCAAGACAAAGATTGGAGACAATTAAGTACACATTAATAATTTGCTTATCAACATTATTACAACCATTCTCCAAAAACTATTCATGCCGGCTTCTTCATGAACTTTCATATCCAATTCAAACCCTACACATAACAACAAAATTAAATTGTTGTTAATAACGAATGCAATAAGATGGTAAAAAATAATTTATATAATTGTTTTTAAATTTATTGATCGTGACATTTAAATGTATTTGAAATTTGGGATTTATAGAAATAGGTATGAGTTACTAAGCAATTCTTTTAAGGATTCATTTATTTATTTATTATTATTTTTTTTCAACACACGACATGATTAATTATACTTAAAAGTAACTTATTAACTGCTTTTTCTTTACAACATGTCTTTACATGCTATCGAAAGAAGCAACGAAAAAACTACTAGACGAAAAGTACATTATCAAGTAAAGGAGTTTAAAAAAGTTATTTTTAAGAGTGAATAAACATCTTCTTTGCTTTTGAGTCCCTTTTTTTTGAAGAATAGATTTTGTGATAATAATTTTTGAAGAATATATGGTTAAAATGTAGTTGAATTTACGTGTAAAATTTATTTTATTGGAAGAGCTGTGATTTAAAATTGGTTTACAAAAAATAATTTCATTTTCTCTTTAAAATATTTATAGGAAGACCTAAATATTGGCACCTTCCAGACACAAAAGGAAGTCTTCTTCTCCCGCATCATTTAATGCATGTTTATGTTATCAATTGAAAACTTTCTCAGAAGAGACAAATTTTAGATATACTCACTGTTGAAGTTCAATGTTCATGGAAGTTGCAGGCGGTCTTCCAATTGTACGAAAAGCTGTATTTGATAGTACCATGGTGACTCCTCCTCTGGTTGGCCGAGAAACAGAAGTTTGGGCCCGATCAACTATCTTCACTTGAATTGTCTCTCCAGGAATGCAAGTGCGTGGCACGGCGGCGCTGATACACCTCACCAAGTATTGACGTCCACAGGAGGCGCCATTGTCCCATATCCCCTCTCCGGCGGCTGCAAATAGGTTGCTCGACGGGAATTGTGAAAAATCATTGCCGTAACACGCGGTGGCTGCATATAGATACAAATGCAGTATGTATATATATATATATATTTACACATTCTTGAATCAGTGGAAAGTAATCTCAAATAGAACAGTTGAATTCTAAATTCTCAGTTAAAGGAGAACTTACGTGTATAAGGGGGATTGTAGAAACTGGCGGTGCCCACGTCAGCATGGGAAAAATTGCAGATGCAAACAAAGAAGAAGATCATCCATACAATGAGTGGAATTGACATCCTATAAATTCATTGGGGGAAATAGACCCTGTTATCTACAATGTTTCAAAAACATATACTCCCTCCGGAGATTAAGAAATTAATTTGTTTAATGTTATTGGAAAAATAATTTTTGCAAAGAATTTTTCTAATTTATCCTTATTTAATTGTTAACAACTAGTGGTAAATAAAGTGGAGAATGTACTTTTGTCCATGTTTTCATGGTGTGGGAAATGTGTGTATGTATTTGGATAATTTCAAGTAAGCAAATTAAAATTTGTACAATTTAAAATTTAAGTGAGAGGAATTCGTTATCGTTAGAAAAATTAAATAAGGATAAATTAGTGAAGGAACAAAACTATACTTTCTCAATAAATAAAATTTCTAGAGTAATGTTATTTAGCGTCATGATATTTAACATCAGTTTAAGCGATAGCACTAATAACTTTAAGCCTATGTTTGACTCCCTTTTTTTCAAAAACGCATTTTTCTAAAAAATCATTTTTAACTATACATTTTCCCATAAAATAATTTTACAGGTATATCAAAAAATTTTCCTCATTTTGTAATCATACATTCTCCAAAAGAATCATTGTTCCAAAGTACATTCCCTGAAAAATGGGACTCAAATAGGAAGCTAAATTAGATGTTCAATTAAATACAATGAATTATGACTTATTTAATAGAATATGTGATATGCTGACACTTGGATTGATGTTCAAAACTATTGATATTAGATAGCATTATTCAAATTTTTACGCTCGACATGGAGAAGCTCAACACATTTTAAAACTGAAATTTTATGGATCAAGAAAGAAAATATCAAGTCCTTGTTTGAGCACCTTTTTTTACATCAAATACATTTTTTAACAATGATTTGACCTTACTTCAAGCACACAATCTCTAATAAAATAATATTACATGCAAATAAAAACTTTTGTTTATTTTTTAACCACACGTTTTCTATCACATTATTCAAAAATACATTTTTTTTTATAAGAATGAGGCTCAAACAATGGCCAAATTTAGAATTCAAGAAATAGGCAATGGAAACTACAGAAACAATATGCCTCTATTCGGTTCAACTAAAAAATTGAACTAAAATTTAAATCAAAGTCAAAGTCAACAATCAATTTTTATCGTACATATATTACATGGCACTTACAATTTTTTAACTATATATTTCATCAATTTTTATCACAATTTACTATATATCTAATTTTTATCTATATCAAACATAAGGTTATATATCAATTAATCTAAGTCGATACAAAAGCTTAAATTTGAAGAACTAAAAGACCCTTTAGAAAATCGAGAGATTAGACTGTAGTTACAAGAAACCAAAAGAAACGGGAATAAAAATAATAAATGATAAAATAAATAAGCATGGATCAATTTCCTCTTTGCATGAGCATCAAAATATTTTCTTCTTATTTGACCATCCTTGTAATTAGTGAAAACTAAGACGTCTAGAAGCATTCCTTATTCCTTTTTCTAAAATATTTAAGGATCCAATACTTCATCACTTAAGCACAAGCATATCTTAATATGGACGATTCGATACTCCATTATTAATTTTTTATACATAGAACGTATCGATTTCAAGTAAAAAATAAAAATAGTATAAAAGAGAAAATAATATTATTTGAGATTTTTTAAAAACAGATTTTCCATAGATTTTGATAAAGATTTATGGAATACGTGGTTGAAAAATTGTGATCTTATGGAATGTGTGATTAAAATTAATTGTTGATTTTAATTTAAATTAAAATTTAAAATTTAATTTCTATCAAATAGGGACGTAGAAATTGAAAATATACATCTCCTAAATTACTATATACCCTAAAAGCACCCAAATTTTGGTATCTAGTAAAATAATCAAAGTAAAATAAATGAATCAATAGTCACATAATTGTTAAGTTGGAACCTAGTGAGTTAAATAGTTACCGAGTTTATCCAAGTCCAAATTAATAAGCACCAATTTAGTTCGGTTAAAAATTAAAATTTTAATAAATTATAATAGAAGTTAATAGAATATATGATTAAAAAGTTAATAAAAATCGTGGATCACAATTAAAAATAAATTCAAAAAAATACATTCCAAATAGATGTTGAAAGTTGGGATTCCATCAGTTTCTATTGTGACGGACGGCGGGCATGTGTTATTGGGCAATGAATATTCCGTGCAAATGCTGGAGGGTTCAGAATTAGGGCCATGGCTTTGAGCAAATGTACCTTAGAAGATCCTAGGGGAAAATGGGATGTTTAATATGTTAAATGTAGCCCATGTTTCACTCAGTTAAAATTTTGAATTAAAATTATTAATTAATTTTGATTGTAAATTTCATGGGATTTATAATTTTTTTATCACACATTTCGTTAATTTTTATTAAAATCTAGTAAAAATCTAACTTTTATGTAAACCAAACTTGAGCTTAATTATATTGAATAAGAATTAAAACCGAAAAAGTTTTAAAATCCATTATTGTATTAGTGCTTTTCCAGACTCCACAAAAGTATTGGTTGATAAGAACTAAATGGGTGTACACCTTGTTTGACACTTGCCTATATATCAAAAATTTGATCATTGTTTGGAAAAATAATAGAATTCTGCCAACTCATATGGATGTCAAACTAGACGTTAATTTAGATATACATGTAGTATGATTCGATTGATAAAAGTGTAAATCTAACGAAACAAAAATAACAATATCCCAGTTAGAACATAGTAATCTATTTTAGCACCACCATTAAGTGATATAAAATAAGATGTAGAATTAAATAAGACACATAAGTCTAACTTTCAATTAAGTATATCACATAGTGTCATTTAAATTGTGTCATAACATTAATAGTACTAAATAATATTATTCGTTCAAATAATGCCTATGGTTGACTTGTCTCTATGATCGGGCCAAGTATTATTTCCAGAAGATCTATTGGGACATTTTTTCAAGCCTAGGAAAATAAAATAGAGTGAAGACAAAACATTGGTACAATAATAGAAAAGTTGAAATGAGATTTTGATGGATTTTAAAATATTATAAATTTGTAAATTAGAATGGATTTTCATAAAATCAAAAAATTCTCACTAAAGATTGTAAAATTTTAAAAGAGTTTGTTATATGTATTTTAAAATTGAAATTCATTCACATCTTTAAGATTTCTCCAGTAACAAAATACTTACAAATTCACTAGAACGCCTATATTTTAAATAATTTCTGAAATCCGTCAAAATCTCGATTAGAGACATCAAGATTTTAATAAATTTCATTAAAATCTTAATTAGCAACAACTCAATTTAAAAAAGACTTTTAAAATTCATTAGAATCTCAATTGGGGACACCACTTAAATTCATAAATTTTCGAAACCTAGAATTTATGAAATTAAATAACCCCAGGAATCTGCTTCTACTTTAGTTTTTATGCTAAAATCATAGGTTGACAATATCATTCATTCCCAAAAATGAAAAAAAAAAAATAATAATAATAATAACAACAACTAAAATAAAGGTCAAGAAAGTATACAAAGAGCAAGTAAAACTGAACTAAACAACCACCTAAATTAATGAAACAGAGATATGTTCAATCAAAGTGGTGGGGTGATGGGAAGAGGAAGAGGAAGATCAAGATGAAGTGCGTACGTACCTCATATCTGAAGAGAAATACTACAAAATATATAAAACTTTTGAAATTATCGTCCTTTTTTTTATTGAAAAGTTTGGTTCATGTTGCTACTTATATAAGGTATAATTCTTTTGAAAAGGGTAAGAACTGAAAAAATGCGCAATATAGAAATCAAGAATCAGATTGCTTAATGACCTTTATAAATTACAGCAATCAACACGGAATCAATAAAGTTACCTTAAAAGTTAAAACAATAGCTAAATTAGGGTACGTTTGGCTAATCTTAAAACTTAAAAATAATATGTGTTTGTTTGGTAGGGATTTTGTTAATTATTTTTTGACTGTTATAAATAAAGTATGTCCTACCTGTGAGAGAAAAATTAAAAAATGACGACTGAAATAGTGAAATAATGGTAAAAAAAATTAATGTTAATTGGATTAAAATCTCTACCAAACATGCATATTTGGTTCGAAGCTTACTTATTTCAAATTCTGATCAATCAAGTTTCATTTGTCTTGAAATTATATTTATTTACTTATTAATGGATATTTTATGGGTGTCCTCAACTAAAATTTTGATGAATTTTAAAAGATTATAAATCCTAATAAATTTTGTGGATTTCAATAAATTTCACAAATCCCATAAATTTTTTTATCAAATATGGTGAAAATTCTAAATATTTGATTATATTTTTTTTAAGCTTGAAATCATCCAAATCTTTTAAAATCCTTCTATTAATGAAATCTTAATAAATTCACTAGTTATTGAATACCTAAATTTAAAGAATTTCAATAAATTTCATTAAAATCTCATTTGGAGACCAAATTTAATGGATTTTAATTAAATCCATTAAAATCTCAATTAATGACACTTAAGTTTATAAGAATTTTTATAATTTATCACAATTTCAATTGAGGATACCCTTATTAAGCTTATTTAACATGAAAAGTTAAATAAATCACAAACGATGAATTATAAAGCAAAAAATCACTTCGCTAAACCTAATTGTTTCAAATATTGCTCATGCTAAGGCTTGCCGTATGAGTTTACGAGCATTTTGGGTACACTTCTCTTGCAATCCATTTTCATTTTGGCTTTTAAATCTCTTAATTGATTTCTATGTCAACTACAATGTACCACTTAACACTTTTCCAAAAACGCGAAATTGCTGCTTTAGAATGAGGACCATTTCCCACTATGCTAATGCTCGTTTAGTTATATTTGAAATCAAATTAAAGATTATAAACTCAATCGCGATATAATAAAGTTCAATAGTTTAATTAAAATCTCATTGAAAGTTGAATAACAACAAATGAAATTTATCTAAGGCATGTACTTATAGTATGTCAGATCATGAGGCAACCTAGTAGGATATGTAAAAGTGATT